TGAAGTAACATTTAAAGTTTATAAAAATCACACTAACTTGACTTTGTCAGAGTTTTAGCAGTAAACAGAAAACATGAAACTAGTACTTTGGAGGCAAATACGCTCAGGGTTAAGAAAATTTGATTTTAAAAATGAAAAGGGAGTCTCCTTGTCATAGAGAAGAAATGTGGACATTTCTAGAACTAAAAGGATTGTGTTAGCACAAGATACAGAGAGGAGAGTGGGACACTGTGGAGGGAAACCACACCGTTAGAATTGGGGACCGGCATGGGGCAGAGAAAGAAACCTGGACTTCTGTCCCAGAGAAGACTGCTGGGACACGGCTTTAAGCCAGTAGAGAGTTCTTATCAGCCAGCTGGCAACCACACTGGGTGTCCGGGATCCTAGTGGAGCCCTAAGCCTTTCTCAGGGTGAGCTTCTAAGTGCAAAAACCATGTCCTGGGTTGACATACTTCAGTTCACAAGTACAGTTAGCCAGAAGCAGAACTACAGAAGGTAAACAAAGCAAGGTTAGTACATTTAGATTCTTTCCCATAAGTATGGACTTTGATGGATTAGGTCCATTTGTTTTCATTTTCGGCAAGTGATGCTGTCTACTTGCTGAATTTTTCAGCCCGGTTGGTATTTCCATGGAGTCAGTTGTGCTAAGGTCTGGGGCCCTGTTACACTCTCCTGCCCTCCGATTTCTCTCCTCTATTGGCCAGCTCCGATTGTAAGCCAGATGCGTTCTTGATGGCCAGTCTCAAGCGCATGCCCACACCCCAGGGAACTGCTGCTGTGCTTCCCATTATTCTCCCTCTTGAAAGAATCTTCAACCTAATGGATGTAAATAGCTATTTATTATAGTACAACCAAATTACATCAACCAGATGCCAGTGACTATGTCTTACTATTTAAACTCTTATTTCCATCTGGGCTTGCTGACTTGGGCCTCTACTCCCAACTGAGGTATGAAGATGAGACCTGTGGAGGCTACAGAGAAAATTCAAGTCAGTCTGGGCAACTTGGTGAGACCTAAGAATAAGAAGGGAGACTAGGGCTGCAGAGAGCTAAAATCAGTGACAGATGTAGCTGCTGTGTGTGAGGCCCTAGGTTCAGCCCTAGTACCACCAGGTGAAAATCTTTGTTTCTGTCATGAACAGTGGACTGAACATCCTATCATATTTCAGTGGCTGGTCTGAAACAGTTCCTCAGAGCACAATGAAAACAGGGCAGTTGAAGACAAAGTAGGTCTTAAGGGTTCTGATGTATCTCGTTGGACAGTTCCCCATTGGCTCTCTGGAAAGCCTCTACCCACTTGATAAGCTAAATATATGCTTTATTATTGTGTTAATTTTCACTTCGATGTTACTGAATTTACGATACTTTCCACATGTTCATTAGCTATCTGTATTTTTTCTTTCGCAGCCTCTGCAATTTTTTTTCCTGTTGATATTCATGGTGATTTACATGACCAGTATTCCCCACAGGCTCAGGTAGCTGAACACTTGGTCCCCAGCTTGGAGGATGCTATGGAACCTTTGGGAGGTGCCACCTTGCTGGAGGAAGTATGTCACTTGGGGTGGGCTTTGAGAGTTGATAATCTTGCCCGACTTCTAGTTCTTTCTCTCTCCTTTGTATTTACAGTTCAAGAAGTGGTCTCTCAGCTTCCTGTTCCTGGCACCTGCATGCATCTTGCTCTCATGTCTCCTCCTGCCATGACATAGTCTCTCTGGAACTGTAAGCCCTAATAAACTCTCACTTCCTTAAGCTGCCTTTGGTCATGCTATTTTATCACAACAACAGAAAAAGTGACCACTACAATATTCATCTTTCTTTTATTGCTTTGTGGGAGCTTTTTACATATTAAAACTTAAGCATATTTATTTTTTATGTGTATGTGTGTACATGTATTTGAGTGCATGTCACGTGTGTGGTGCTCCAGGAGAACAGAAGAGGGTGCCAGAGTCTTTGGGGTTGGAGTTACAGGCCATTGCGCATCACTTGACATGGGTGCTTAGTTTTTTGAGATTACAATAATTACATCATTTACCCCTTCCCTTTCCTCTCTGAAAACCCTTCCATATACCCCTCATTGCTCTTTCAAATTCACGGCCTCTCTTTTTAATTAATTGTCATTACATAATGTATGTATGTACATGTACATTTCTAGATGCATAAATATAAGCTGCTCAGTCTGTATGTTCTCAGGGCTGACTATTTGGTCTTGGATAACCACTTGTGTGCTCCTCCCCGGGGAAGACTGTTTCTCCCACCCTTAGCATTCCTTAGCTGCCTATAGTTCTTTGTGTAGGGTTCTGGCCTTGTGGACTTTTCTCTGTCCACTTTGACATATCTATCGTTACATTGTTCAGCCCATGCAGAGGCAGTCATGTTGGTGAGACTCTATGGGTATTATGAGCCTCCTCTAGCTCCTGTTTACACATTAAATCTTGAATGAGATTACTATATATACTGCTGTGTTCTCTGGTTTAAAATAATTCACAGACCCTCTCTTCTTTCCTTCTTTCCCCTCTCTGTTTGTTTATAAGACAAAAGCTTAGTGAAAACTGCTGAGTAGGTGTATATATACAGCTACTGTATACATTCACGGCACTGAATAGCCACACGGACCCATCACAGAAATGTAAAACAGAGTAGTCGGCACAAGTGTTACACACCCATCACCTGGTTCATCTTCTTCCTTCAAGTTTCCTTAGCACATTTCTCTGTTTCCTCCCTTATATCTTTTGGAACATTTCATGCCTTTTGCAACAATTCATGTCAGCCACCCAGCTGAGCTCTAGCTCAAAAGCTTTATCCTCAATTCATTATGTACAATATAAATTATTCTTGCAACTTCTTTAACTTTTAATGGTGGCAGGTCATTCCTTTCAGCTAAAGCTTTCCTATTTCTGTCTTTGCAGCTTGCCTGGATTTTCCACTGGCACAGCCCCAGTAACCATATAGACCACCTGATGGGTCAGTGATACAGAGCTGTGCACAATCATCTGCCCTGTAAGACCCCAAAACAAGACTGCAGCCCAAAGGTCTAAGAGCACTGTAGCATGTCCAAGCATGTATGTGGACAAGCATGTTTATACCCAGCTGCCCTGCAAGATGTTTTAGGGGAATGTTACAGCCAAAGTCAGACCTACAGTTGGAAGCTTCTGCTTTTCTTATGTCTGCTAATGAATGAGCATCTGCCAGTGAGCCTTTGAATGCCATTCCAGCATGTTGATCAACATGTTACTTTTTTTTTTTTTTTAATAAAAATAAGGACTCAGCAGTTAAAAGTACTGGCTGCTCTTTCAGAGAACCTAAACTCATGCTGTGGAACATATGTACTCATGTGTGTCTGTACACACACACACAAACACACACACACACATTTTTATCTTTTCTAGAGTTTGACATAAGTAAAATTGCAAAGTGTGAATCCCCTTAGGGTTTATTTTTCACTTACTACAGTGCTTTGAGGCTAACCCATGTTGTAGGCATCATTAATTTACTTAAAATGTTTATCTGTGCATTTATTATTTGCTGTGTGTGTAGTGTGTGTGTGTTTCTGTGTGTGTGTGTGTGTGTGTGATGTATGTGCACATGTGTGTGAGGATGTTCATGCCCATGTACTCTCTTGGGGAGGCCAGAGGAGGCACTGGGTTTCATGTACTATCAGGCACTGTCTGCCTTCTTCACTTGAGTGAGGGTCTCTCACTGAACCTGAGTCTTGTCATATTTTTGGCTGGATCCTGATAAGCAAGCTCATGGGGTTCACCTGCCTCTGTTCCCAGTGCTGGGGTTACAGGCAAAATCGGCCATGCCTCACTTTCTTATGTGATTGCTGAGGATTCAAACTCAGGTCCTCATGCTTGCAAGTGGTCTCACCCACTCAGCCTTCCCACTAGCACCCAGGTTACTTTTTATTGTAAGTATGCAGTACAATATGTCCATCCATTCATTAGTTGGTAGACATTTGGGTATTTCCATTTTCCCTGTTTATCTAAAGCTCTTAATGATAGTGTAAAAGTTTTGGATGCACTATGTGAGTCTTATATGGTTAAAATTGTACTTTGTAGAAGTTGTATAATATTAAAGTAAGTTCAGCAAGACAGTACATTAGTTGTTTTGTCACTGTGGGAGTGGGCTTTGAGGTCTCTTTTACTCAAGCTTCACTCACAGGTGTGAGTGGCAGTCGACTTCCTGTTCCCTGCAAGCCAAGATGCATCACCTCTTGCCTACATGCCACCAAGTTCTCCACCAAGATGACAATGTTCTGAATCTCTGAACTGAAAGCGAGCCACCCAATTAAATGTATTCCTCATAAGCGATTCCGTGGTCATGATCTCTCTCTTTACAGAAAAAACAAACAAACAAACAAACAAAAAACAAAACCAACAACAACAACAAAAACAAAACCAACCCTAAGACACCTTCTAAGCGATCTAATCATTGGCCCTAATTGTATTTTGATAGTAGCTACCTCCACCCTTCTTTCCTTTCTCGCCTCCAGTAAACACTCTCCTACTCTTTTGAGTAAGTAAATTAACTTAAAGGGCAATACATGCCAGTAGAAATGGAGTATGCGACTTTTTTTGGTAAAGGAAACGTATTTTTGTTAAGTAATTTTTCTGATAATGGATTAACAGAAATCCAGACAGAAACTTGCACAGCTAAAGAAAGCGAAGGAATAACCGATTTGGATTTAGAGTGGGAAACCACGGCTAGCCTTCCGGTACAGGCAGTGCGGCCGGCCGGGTCCCAGCCGTTCCTCCAGCCAGGCACACTTCTCGGGGCTCTCCGGGCTCTTCCCGTAGATGGCAGCCGGCGTCACCGGCTTGTGCGAGTCCTTACAAGCACCATGTCCATCCAGGCTGCAGAGAGCTGCGTGCAGGAGCCCGAGACACCCCAGACGCCCAGCTCCCCGGCTCCCCGCCTCCCGGAAAGGGCTCGTTGCCAAGTACCGTGTGATGCACGTGCGGTTGTTATGGAGTGACGTCGCGAGACCTGCCCCGGAAGTAGTTGCTCCATATCCCGCCCCCACCATGGCGGCGCCCAGCTCTTTGGTTCACCACCTGCTTCTGCTCCAGCTCTAATTTTAGCCTTGCCGGGGTCGGCGGGACCATGGACGCGCCGGGCTTCATGGCGTCGCTGGTGGTGAGTGCGGGGCAGGGGTGGGCTGCTGGGTGCAGGCTGCACGGGAGCCATGGCAGCTTCTCTGCACGCGCGCCTTCTTCCGGGTTTGCGCAGTGGTCTGTCCTCAGGTCACGAGCAGCTAGGTCTTGGAGCAAGTCTTGGGGGCGTGCAGGGAGCATGCTTTTCAAGGCCAGGTGGATCCAGCGGGGATTTCAGACAAGACAGGAATGCTTGACTTAATTGTCTTCTGATTCTTTTGGTTTTTCGAGACAGAGTTCCTCTGTGTAGCCCTGGGTGTCCTGGAACTCGCTCCATAGACCAGGCTGGCCTCGAGCTCAGAGATCTGCCCGCCTCTGCCTGCCAGGCCTTTCATTGTCTTTACTCAAGGCAAAACAGCTTCCCTTATACATCGCATTTACTCTGAACTTGGGAATTAAAGAAACATGGAAAGAAACACTATTAAGGAAAACACTCATGACCCTTCCGTCCAAGACACTAACTTGTCTTTTTGTTGTATCTACACATGTATTTAGTTAATAGTAATCTGCTTATTTTCCTCCAAGTTTAGGCTTTGAGGAAGTACTGAGCATAAATAGTTGTGGAGTCCATAGAATGTTTATTATTTAATTCCGTGGAATTATAAGAACCAGTGTTTGAGGAACCTGTTACACAGCATGTCTAGCCGGGGATAATAGACTCACCAGATGCAAGACAGAAGATGGGTTGATTTTGATTTCGTTGTGGAGAAGTGTACAGGTGCAGACATGGAATGCCTTAATTTTTAAAACGCTCCTGCAATGAGCAAATAGAAGCCCAGCGGCATTGTTCACAGAATTAGCTAATGTTCTGGATGGAGGGCTTGGAGACACAGTGTTGAACAAGAGGAGGTTCCCCACAGTGTTCCCCACGAGGGGTCAGCATGAGGGGTCAGGTGCTGAAGTGCGTGTTGGGGTAAATGACAGGTGGGCAGGGTTCAGGCAATTATGGGAGTAGGTGAAAGAGAGGGGTGGCTTAGCCAGATTTAGGGGGTCATGGTTTTAAGTTTGGGTTTGTTGAAACTTGTGTAAGCCAGGCTACTGAGCCATAAAGGGATATATCACGTCAGGGAGCTTTCTCGTTCAGTGGGTGAGGCAACAGTGGTAGTCTTGCTAGTGAACATTATGGTTCTTGGAAATGGTATATGTACTTGACGTGTGACTCAGTTTAGTTGTCACAACTGAAGAATTACCCCAGTGTTCTAGTTTGCTTTGTGTTGTGATAAACACTGACCAAAACCAACTTCGGAAGGGTTTAATATGGCGTACATGCCCTGATCACAGTCTGGACATCTTTGCAGGAAGCAAAGACAGGAACTGAAACAGAGGCTGTGGAGGAATGATGCTTACAGACTTGTTGACTTACTTTCTTCTTTTTTTATATTTAAAAAAAAATATTCACTCTACATACCAACCACAGATCCCTCTCTCATCCCTCCTCCCATTTCCCCCCAGCCTCCCTCCCCTTACCCCTGACCCACCTCCCTCCCCTCCTCCAAAAGGGTAAGACCTCCCATGGGGAGTCAACAAAGCCTGGTACATTCACTTGAGGCAGGACCCAGCCTTTCCCCTGCTGCATCGAGGGTGAGCAAGGCATCAACCATAGGTAATGGTTGCCCTACTTTCTTATACCACCCAGGGCCACCTGCCTGGGGTGGCACCGTCTTCAGTGGGCTGGGCTCTTTCATTTTAACCATTAATAAAAAAAAAATTGCCCCACAGACTTGCCCACAGGCCAGCTTGAGGGAGGCATTTTCTCAAGAGAGGTTCCCCTTTCCCAGACGACTCTAGCTTGTTGCTCAGGCTCCAATCTAGGTTGTTCAGTGGTGGAGTCTATGTTCTTAGCTGCTTCCTAAAAGCTCAGATCAATAACAGTAGTGGTTTTCAAAACAGATGAGTTCTAGAATTATCAAAAGAAGGATGATTTAAAAATGAACATACAGAGGAAATAGAGGTGCCTTTGCAGTTAAGAGCACTTGCTGGGTTTGGTCCCCAGCACCCACGTGGGGATCACAACCATCTGGAACGGCAGTTCCAGCAGATCTTACGCTTTCTTCTGGCCTCTGGGCACCAGGCATGAATGTTGGTGCACAGATATATATATAGACACAGGCAAAACAGCCATATATACAGGTAAATAAAAAATCGTAATAAACTGAACATATAGAAAAGTATAGCCTTTTTTATTGTTTGGTAGAGGTTCAAAGTGGGGTATGTGTTGGATCTCATTCATTCCAGCTGAAGAACAGTTTTTCCCCCTCTTAATGTAGTTTATGAGACCACCAAGACTGTCTTTCCTGCCTCATGTTTTTATTTTAGGTGAGAGAGGGGTGCTTGGAAATTTTAGTGTTTGGAAATTTAGCTGTGGATGATTTGTTAGGAGTTTTGTTTCCACTTCCAAACTCTTAACACTGCTTGCCAATTGCTACTTTAAGTTTTGATTACACAGACAAAATTTGGGTAAAAAGATGAAATGTCAGATAAGAGGAAAAAGTTACACTTAATAGCTGTCCCACCTTCACAAGCCAGGTCTCTTCTGTCAGAGCAGTATTGTCCCTCCCCTCAGAGACTAATGGTCTAGGAGGAGGCAGACAGTAAATTAAAAATAAGGCTGTGGAGAGCTGAGTGAAGACTGAGGAGATCTTTGAGGTCACTATTAATAATGTAGGACTTGAATTTAGAGATTTTAATATGTGATTTTATTAATTGAGTTTAATATTTGAATGTAATCTTCATTCTTTGGCAGAGGACTCCTTAGTTTTTGCATGATTTTTAATATTGACATGGCAGTATTGGCTTTGGTAAACTATGAATGATATCAGTAACAACACAATTCCAAAATAATTGCTCATATATATTGATAGACCCAACTGTAAAACTAATAGCCCACTTGTATTGATAAGGGGTTCTGGGCCAGGCATTCTAAATATATGGGCTTCATTTAGGGTTGGGGTGATAGCTCAGCAGTTAAAGCACCTGCAGTGTGTGAGGACCTGAGTTCAGCTTCCAGAACCTTCGGAAATGCTGGGTGGGTGTGGTGGCTCATCTGTAATTCCAGGGGTCAGGTGGAGACAAGGGATCCCTGCAGCAAGCTGGCTAGCTAGACTGGCCTTTTGATCTCCGGGTTCAGCTGAGGGACCCCACCTCAGTGAATAAAGTGGAAAGACAATGAGGAAGACTTCTGACTCAAGGTTGGGCTTTCATAGACCTGTAAACCACCTCCCCAAACACACACACACCACTCAACACATGCAAGTGCAAATGCACACTACACACAAATATTACTAAAACAGGTTCATTTTAATTGTATTTTTTTTCCTTTAAAAAAAAAAAAACTACTGAGTTGTACACTTTTTTGGGTTTTCAAGATAGGGTTTCTCTGCATAGCCCTGGCTATCTTGGAACTCACTTTGTAGACCAGGCTGGCATCAAACTCAGAGATCCACCTGCCTCTGCCTCCAGTGCTGGGATTGAACACACCCAGCGTGAACTGTACACTTTATTTATTTTTGCCCGGCTTGAACTGTACACTTTCTTCATGTATTGTTGCAGTACTGGAGGTTGGCCCAGGGCTGCATGCGTGCTGGGCAAGCACTCCACTGCCTCCGGCTCTTTTCTCCCTCGTTTAATTTCTCCTGCCCACTCTTCCCTTCCTTTTCTCCCCCAACTTCTTTAGTGGCTCAGGGTGGAACTCAAGCCTTTCTACATGCTAGACAATTGGCATAGCATCTAGCTACCGAACCGAACTGTGTTTCATTTCCATCTACTGTTATTTACTTCTCCCAAACTCTTGAAGCATAGGTACTCTTTCCCCCATTTTGTACATAAAGAAATAGAAATAAACTAGGCCCCTAAGAAGAGGCTCTCCCAAGAGGTGGAGCTTCAGCTAGCCCTGTCTGATAACAAACCCGTGTTCCTAGGCACTAATTGAATCGGAGAGAATTTCTGAGGAAATGGAAGAATCGTCAAGCCCAATTCTGCAGCTACTTTTGCATTCTTAAGAACAGCCTCATTGAACAGATTGAGCCCTGCAGGCCTGCTGTCAGGGGCATGATGAATGGAAGGTTTCTGGAGAAGTGACCCAGAATACAAGTAGCAGTGTGACTGGGGAATGCTAAGGAGTGTTACCAGCTTAGAGTTGTGTTGGGGAAGTCCTGCGCTGTCAGAGGTGCTGGCTTAGCTGTCCAGCAAGCTGAAGGTCACTGACCTGGCTGGTACTCTGAAGAATCTGGCATTATCACTCACGGTTAGTACAAAGGAAAATGTGAACACAATTATGAGAAAGATAGAGGAGGTAGCTTTTAACTCTAAATGGGAGATCGGGCATGGCTTTATGAGGAATGTAGCATTTGGTTGCTGCCAAATGACTAGACAGGATTTTTGGCAGGGATATGTG